AAAAAAAAACTTATGGATTCCTATTTTTTGGCAGCAAATTGCACTTTTTGGCGCTCTGCTTTTCTTCCTGGGGACGAAGAGGACTACTGCTCCAAGAAGGCAACCGAGAAAGAAGACACCTAAACCAAAAACATATTAGATTCGTCTTAGGATTAACAGTTGGTGATCGGATGGATTTGTACTGGCGTTCAGTTGTTAGGTTTACACATTTTCACCATTGATGCAAACTAGAAACTTACTTCTCTAGTAGTTGGCTACTTTCATTATCCCGGATTACTTCCCTTCATTGTTGTCTTCTGATGAGTTGTTATTCAAGTTGAGCTGCGGCATGTAGGTCTTTGTAGTGTACTGTGCTCCGGAGAAGAGAATTGGACTTACTTTTTTTTTTTCCTTAATATATGATTGAGTTAGCATCTTTCTGGGTTCCCTCTTTTAATGTACTTATTTATGCCCACGTTTCATAGTATTTGAACCAACCATTTTAACTGAACTTCTCCTCACCTTGATTCATGTTCTCCGAGGAAAGGAAATAGTGTGTTAGGAATAACGCAAAGTGATCGCATGATATGGTCTATTTTGGACATAAATTTTCACGACTTTATTTTTTATTTCATTCAAAATATCTCGTATCATCGCTTATATGCACCCGTATTTCCAACAAATAAATTATTATATATCATTTTATGGAAAAAAAAACCTAGATATTATATAAACACTAGCATATAGATGACCCAAATTTAGCTAGGCCAAATATTGTTGTCTAATATCTATTTTAACTATGGGCAATTTTTTAAATGTCAAGTTAGCCTTTGATTTGTGAGAAATAAATCAATAATGAATAATTTGTCCCGTCACACAGGCCAGAATTAGGTAGATTTATTTATTTTAATCAGAAAGAATAAATCTGCAATCCGTTACGGCGTTAACGCCGAGTGCCACCGGACGTTAGTAATTAGCGCTAATTTGAGGTGCGATCCTCCCTCGGCTGCGCTGCAGTGTCCTGCGGACTGCAACAAGACCAACGCCTTCGCCATGGTAGGGCAAAGAACTGAGCTCTCCATTTTCATTTTATTTTCGACTCTCTTTGAACTGTTTCTTTGTTTTTTAACTTACAGGATTACCTGAAATCAGTTGTACCTTCGCAACTTATTTCCGAACGAGGTTCTAATCTGGTAGTGATAAACCCAGGTACTGCAAATTCGTCTCTCTCGTACATGCTGATTTTCTGCTTCTGCTTCTGCTTCTCCTTTTCATCGTTGCGAATTTCAGTTTGTAAATTAGTTTTCACTCAGCTAGTCACATTTTTTTTCTCACTCTAATTGTTTTGGTACCTTTTTTTTTTTTTGGGTGTGAAGGATCTGCACATATTAGGATTGGCCTTGCATCGCAGGATGTTCCTTTTAATATTCCTCATTGCATTGCTCGTTATACCAATCAACTGCCCAAGAGAAATGTTCAAGATCAGGTTTAGAATACGTTTTAAGAAGTTTATAACATTATCGACGTAATTTCAATAAACATTGACCGTAATTGTTTGTTTCCGGGGTTTCAGATGCTTAATTCACAAGTTACGACTGCGCAGCACATGGACCGTGAGAAGGCGTATGATGTCGTGAGTGCCATTTCTGCTTTGTTTACACATTTATGGAATATTTCTTTGATTGGTTATTTATTTTTGTCTGTTTTTAGATTGCGTCATTGCTAAAAATACCGTTTCTTGATGAAGAGGTTGCTAGCAATTCTTTCCCACGTAAGGTAGGCATGGTTCTTGGTCTTCTATTATTTGCAACTTGAAACTGATTAGGCTCTACTGCGTATCTTATTGCAGTTATACAAATTTCTCTGGCTGTATTTTATTTGCAACTCGAAACTACATTCTTGGTCTTATATTATAATCCAAAAAGGGCTATGATTCAGTGAAGTGAAGTTTTCATTCATATTTGGTTACACATCTTATGGAATAAGAGAGGTTTCGTGTTGCATCTCTTAAGCATGTAGTATTACTAGAAGAAACGTGTAACAAACTATTATGTTCTCATTTAGATCAGCTGAATTGCATTAGGAAGTAGAAACATAGTTTGACTGTATCATTTATCTTTCTAATATAGTTAGAAGGCCACCTTAGTTTTACCTTTTTAATCTCGCTTACCGTCCATTCTTGGGACATTATTTTGTGTGTCATACTAATAAAGCAGTAGCAAACTGGCAAGTGGTTTCTTGAACTCACAGAGTAGTGAAGCTCTATGTACACGAAGATCAATTCCTCTGTTTTTTTTATTTCTTTTTTTTTTTTTTTTTGTTAAGAGACTATCTAGGATTCTTTTGAGTTTGCCCAACACTGTCAACTATCACACTAGAAATTTATTTTTCCATTATTATGATGTGCTCAAGTTTGCCTCACAAGTAGATAAATTACTTCACCTCTTCAATTTTGCTTTCATAGTGCAATATTTACAATGTCCATATTCTATTTTGTGTTTCTAAAACGACTTTTAAGATTTTAGCTAGTCCGCATGCGATAGTAGCACCTAAAATAATTCTTGAATGGGAGCATGAGGACTAATTAGGTGCAACGTACTGGCCAACAATGTGTTAATGTCTTCTGCTGTGAATGGTGTACAGATGGGACGTGTTGATGGACATAATATGCATAATGGCAAGAAGGATACTGTTTTTTCTTGGACTGATGTACATGAGAAGGACCCAACTTTGTCAATGGCTGTGGGTAATATCATTTGGTTAACTTACTCTGCTTCTTCATTACCATTCGCAGGCATGAAAATGTTTATGATATGTCTTGCTCTTCTCATATTCATTTGGAATGCCAAGAAACCTGAAAATTTGATAAAACCCTGAAGCAGGCTAAAATACATCTTCAATCTTCTAGAGTCGCTTTGCATGGGTCACTGTTGTACAAGTCATTTTATTCTTCATATCTTCTTCCTCATAAAACTGAAATAAATATTAAACCGTAAAACTTTATGGGTACTGTGTGATGAACAAGTCCTTATATTCCTTTTCTTATTTGTTATCTTTATTGTCTTCTTCGTCTTCTTTTCGAGACAAATAAATCTTGACATATCTCTGGGTTATTTACACTGCTGTACAAGCTTCATATTCTTCATGTTCATCAGATATTTAACATGGACTATAAGAAAAATGTGTAGCATGTGTTTAGACTTTTGTTTAATATTTTTCTTTCTTGGTATATGAAGATTCTGCCTTGTCCTCTCCACCATTAACCCAATAATGCGTTTTGGTTGCACATCATAAGTTCTTCTGTTACCTCCGTAATTTGTTTTTGCAGAAAGTTCAAGCTCCAAGGATGTGGACAATGAGTCTTTGGATCAGCATGTAGTTACCGATTCCAAGGAGCTTAGTTCAAGTGTAATCAGATATAGACAGTTTATTTGCGGTGAGGATGCTCTTAAAGTATCACCCAGTGAGCCATATTGCCTACACCGTCCTATTCGCAGAGGTCACTTGAATATCTCACAACATTACCCTATGCAACAGGTATTATCTAATTTGAGCATATCTTTTGCCTGTAGTTTCTTTACAATGCATTGTTAAGATGTATTATATTATAAACTTCCTCTGCAAAATTTGTGTTTTATGAGTGCTGAAAGTTAGAATATAGAGTATATTTTACTTTTCCTGTTTGGAAGTGTCTTGGAAAATTAAGCCGAATCGGTTTTTACAGCCGTGACTATACTACTATAGTACCACATTTTCTGCCAATTATTTTACCACACTTGGATTAATTTTACTTTTCAAGAATTAGGGAAAAAAAGGGCAAGTATGATATTTTCTGCGATATTTGAACTTTAACAATATTAGTTCATTCAAAAGTATTCTATTATGTGAAGACTGTAGACGGAAGGAGAAAAGTTCACTGAAGCTTTCATATGCTTCAAACTTTATTTTAAAATTTTGTCTGGTATATTTCAGGTACTTGAGGACTTGCATGCTATTTGGGACTGGATTTTGATAGAAAAACTGCATATTCCTCATAGCGAAAGAAACTTGTATTCCGCTATTCTTGCCGTCCCAGAAACATTTGACAACCGTGGTACTTCTTAGAAGTCATTCTTTGATAATTATGTGATTCTTTTGAAGGGCTCCTTTTCACATTAATAATTTTTCCAGATGATCATTTTGTGAATTTTGCTTAGATAATCAAGAGATTATGAAAACAAGTCAGATGATTTTTTTTAAAAGTTTACATCCTTTTTTGGCCTCTGACTTTTATGTTATTTTATGGTCCCTAAACTTTTTGTCATTGGGTTTTAGTCCCTCAACTTTGCATAAAACATTATTTATCTTTGCCATTAATCTTTTATAAATCATTTAATTGAATCTTCACTTGACACATCTTCATTTACTTAATGAGAAATTCTACATTCAAAAATGTTTGAAGCTATATGTAGTAGGTCAGGTGCCGACTTTCGGAGTGGATCCAGATTTCTCTGAAATGATTAACACAAAATTAACATGAAGGACTAAAATAGTTTTTTTATTTAGTTTAGGAACTAAAGCAAATATCTGAAAATTTAGAATCAACAAAGGAAAAAAAGGGGGATTTAAACTTTACAGTTACCAAAAGCTGTTATTACCTTAAGTGAAATACTTGCCCCAATTATTTCTAGATATGAAGTTGGTAAATGGAGCAGGTCTGGGTAATATGGAGCAGGAGAAGATTCACATTACTTGCCCCAGACCAGCATCCATTCCCATCCTGATCTATGAGAAGTATAGCACACTTAGTTTTACATTTATTTATTTATAATACCTTTTTTATGTATTTTCTTAAATTCTAAGTATATTTGTATCTGTAACTAATTTTATTTTTCAATATTAGACTAAATCATTGGAGTTTAGAAGTGATATTTTGTCAAAATTTTGAAGGACTTTGCAAATAATAAAACTCACAAAATAGGCATCAGCATTCATGCAAGAAATCCATATTCTACCAGGTATTCCATGTTTTTTTTCCCTAATACCAGTAATGAAGTAGATGTATCAAATTATTTTTGAGTTGAATGCCAGAGGTCGGTCCTGGATTCCTGACCAGTGACCACACTTTGCATCATCTCTATTGTTGGAATTACGGTAGTTAAACTTTGACATCTAACATTTTTAAATATGACTTCTCTGATTTTCATAATTCTACTTCTTCATTGCTTCTCTTGCTGGGGAACTTTTAAATTTTATTGAAGTCATCCAATTTCTTATTATGCCAGGTTGTGATATTTTAATGACCTGAAGCTTGTGTTTCTTTTTCCTCCCTTGGTTCTTTTATTTGCTAATGACACAATCTGTGTTGAAATTTTGACATCCGATTGGGGAAAAAAAACATGCGTAACATGACTTCTGTGGGAAAAGAAAAACTAACTTCTTTTACTTGGTACAAACAGAAATAAAGGAGATGTTGACTATTGTATTGCGAGATTTGCGGTTTGGTTCAGCAGTGGTTCATCAAGTGAGTGCATGATTCTTTGTCAAGTTACAGACATCTTACTTACGTTGTATGCATCCTACAATGTTTGTGTTTGTAGTTCCTTACGAAAGTCAATAGCAAAGTTGTCAACGGGGAGCTGACTCCTTCCCCATAAATTTGCTTCCAGGGCTTAGAAGTTTTAGGAGATTCATGCGCATTCATTACAACTACAATGGCAAAAGGGTGGTCATTATTAATACTTGATGAGGGAAGCGGTTTTCTAGAGTCTCTTAAGTGCTTTCTTATCTCCCCTGCAGAAAACAAATGAACGAACAAAAAAATAAGTAGTTCTCTAGAGTATGAGCATGAAAGGAAGACATCGAGTTTTACTTATTTCCTCATTGCCCTCTGGCTTTGTAGCTTCCTTTGACAAATCTTCCTAAAGAAGTTTAGGGTTTTGGTGGGGTTAAAGGTCTGAGATTGAGGCAATTAGAGCCATGGTAATTGGATCAATTAGATAATCATTGAGTTGAATCTTCCCTTGTCTTCTATATATTACCCCCTGGCCTCTACTTGCTATCAAAGTTAATGATAAAAAAGGTTTACGCTGAATCTACATTTCTGGGAGTTGGGAATCAAATAGTTATGACAAGGATAATTAGAAACAAGAACTAGAAACAGTATCACAGAATCTAATAGGAAGAACAGCTTGATAAAGAGAGGATAAAATTAAAGAATGAGGTTGTTTTGTATAACTACTGAAGTTGGAAGGACTGGGAAGAAGCGAAACTTAATAATTCTTGTTAACGATGATTTACAAAGATGGATAGTAGTTTTAGTTGCTTATCAATGTTTCTTTTTAGAGTCTAACTCTAGAAATCACTTCCCTTGTTAAGCATCAATGGCAACTGCAATCTTGCAAATGTAGTTGTAACGAATGCGCACGAGTCCCGGGATCTACCAAGCCCTTGAATGCAATCTCTTTGGTAAATAGTGAACCCTGTAAGCTAGATTGGGGAAGATTGTTGTTATCACTTTTGCAATTCTTACATGATGCTTGGTACAAGATGTTGCTTGTTACAAGAAAGAGGGGATCTAACATGTTTGTTGAACCTTTTCCAATAGGATAAAATTCTACTTTATTGTTGAGATAAACCACGTGTACTGATTTTGTTAAATATAATGGTAAGATTCAATAGAAGGATGTGATTTCTTGATTTTGAAAATGAGAGTGTTTGAAAGCATTTTTAGAACATAAGAATATGATTTTCAGGATAAGTAAATCACATGGGTGTCATTTGCAATAAACCCAAACTTGTAAAGATATATAACGGCAAATGTTTGTATATTTATTAATCTATGTTATAACTCTACTTCTGACTCAAAGTTACCTGTCCTTAAATTATATACATCACATAGTTTATTTTTCTCTCTATTGGTTAGCAGGTACCCTATTAAATGGATAATCTTATTAACTTTTGGTTGTGCCAGGAAGGGCTTGCTGCAGTTTTCGGGAATGGACTATCTACAGCGTGTGTTGTTAACATGGGAGCACAGGTGACAACAATTATTTGCATCGAGGTAAATTCAGTTTTTTGCTAACCTCCTTTTGCAACTGATTTTGGCACCCTCAAGGGGAAGCCCGGTTGGCTGGGCTTGGGGCCTCTGGCTCATACTGGCTTAGAAGTCTCAAGTTCGAACCTTCCGGTGAGCTTAATACCAAAATTCTTGATATCTCCCGGACCTGACCTTGGGCAGGCGTGGGGACCCCTGAGTATAGGGGAGCAAAGCTCCGACTCCCGGTTATAAAAAAAAAGGGAACTAGTTTTGCATATTTTAAGAGTACCACAATATCCAATGTTTGAGTTTTGGAATTGCAGATGCAAATTGGTGTCCTATCCATCTATCTATAACTACTGGTAGGAAAAAGAATTCTTAGGGATAAACTAGGCAATTGCCTTGTAACATGCAATTATCCATATTGTAACTGCCTTTTAACAGGCTAACATGTTATTATCGAGGTTGCTGACCACTTTTTATCAATGTCCACTTACTTCATTTCACGTGTGCCAATTATTTGATAAATTATTAGTTTAATGAGAATAATTGCAATACCTCGTGTTAGAATATCATTAAGCATTTGGCTTGAAGGAAAAAATAAGCAGATGATACACTTTTTATCAATGTCCACTCACTTCATTTCACGTGTGCCAATTATTTGATAAATTATTAGTTTAATGAGAACAATTGCAATACCTCGTGTTAGAATATCATTAAGCATTTGGCTTGAAGGAAAAAAATAAGTTGATGCTTTTCCTGAAGTATTAAATATTCAGTGACCTGGTTGTAATTGTTCATTTTTTGTCAAGGATGGAGTTGCCCTGCCTGCTACAGCAAAGACGTTGCCTTTTGGTGGAGAGGTTGGTTTTTATTTTAGCTACTCCAATTATTTGTTATGTTGGAAAGTGAGCTTGTGGTATCAGCTAAAAAGCTCGGTTATTTAGCAATTTTCCTTCAGTGCTATCTGTGTGATGAAATTTTGCTATTTTGTCTGGTAATTGATTCATTAGGTGTTTTCAGGACTTATCTAGATGCCTACTGTGGACTCAGAGGCATCACCAGACTTGGCCACCAATTCGTACTGACATCTTATCAAAGCCTGTAGATCTTCTGATGCTTAATAGACTGAAAGAGTCGTACTGTGAGATTAGGGTGAGTTCGACCTTATTTTTTATGACTGCAATAGTGTAGATATAAGCAAGCTCTTAAATAATTGTTGTTTTCTTGCAAGTTTACCAAGTTATGGTCCATAGATCGTGATTCTCTTATTCAATCGATTTTTGCCTCTTTGGTATTCTAGATGAGAAGATTTTTCATAATTATTCTTTTTCATTAGAGGATGTTTGGAGGCTCTCTGTATTTATAGTTAAGGGCTATTTTTGCAAAACAATGATTTACAGTACTTGCCCTCTCATCCATGCCGTTTCTGCATTCCATTATAGCAAGGTTTTCATGGCAAGACTTGGTCCGAAATAACCCCTTCCTTAATTTCCAAATTATCTATAGTGCAATAGATGTCTTAGGTTCTAAGGAAGAGAAATGACCCTAAAGAAAGGAATTATGAAATCACATATAAAATGATTTGAATGCATTTTGTTGTATTCAATTCCATATTATAAACCGGTCATTTGTTTTTCAAAGGTCTACTGCTGTTGAAAAGTTAGGAGTGGAGTATTTCATAAAAATGCATAGTTTTATAAAGTTGAGATACATTCTGCTCCTGAGATATCTTACGAGGACTTCCAAGTGTATTTCACAGAAGGTGCTTTTTTTTTATGCCCTTGGATTTAGATCGATTTCCTCTTATCATTCGGTTCCCATTGACAGGAAGGGGAGGTTGATGCTGTTGCTGTAGTTCACTCGTATGAAGAAGGCAGTCCTGCTGGTTCTCATAAAACAAGACTGACTGCTCTTAATGTGTGGCTTCGTAATGAATTCATTTTTCATTTGATTTTTTATTTGAAGAACATCATTAGAAAGACCATTTATCATCATGCCCCATCCCACCCCTCAAAAAAAAGGTACCACCTATGGGCTTGTTCTTCCCAATGCTTTTGGTTCCAGATGTGTATCCACCACCACCCCGTGCATGGTCAGTAACTGAGAATTATTTTCAACTAGTTTTTATGTTGAAATATAGCTGTATGGCAACTATTCTGAAAATTTGGTGATGATATTTTAAGGTTTCATGACTATGAGGATATGCTGGAAGAGACATGGCATACAGAATACTCTAGAAGATCTGATATGCCTGAAAATTTTTATCCTGGAATTAACGTTGGTTTCCCAACGTGGGATAGCTACCCAGTTTATGCAACTAGACCGAGAAAGGAAGAGAAGGTTGGCCTTGCTGAAGCCATCACCAGCAGTATCCTCTTAACAGGTATTCTTGCAGCCTTGTGCACATTTATTCTACTAGAATGGGGTTTTTTACTGGTTAAGCTCTAATTCCTGAACAGGGCGAATTGAGCTCCAGAGGAAACTGTTCTGTAGCATACAGTTGGTGAGTTTCTTATTTAAGGCTTCGAGTCTACGTTAATGAAGTTCAAATTCCATATATTTGATACAGACAGGAGGGAATAATATTGTTTTGGGCTTTAGGTTGGTGGGGTGGCTTTGACAAGGGGTCTTATTCCTGCAATGGAGGAAAGGTTTGTTGTCTTAAGCTTCAAGAGCACTTGTTTCTATGTTTCATTAGTCTTTTATTGCTTGTAAAAATACTAAATAGCGATTAAATAATGGCATCTGAGTTCGATATAACGATGAAAATTTGTTTCTTGGGTAATTCTGATTCTGGAGTGGTTTATGAACGTTGGTCATGTAAAATAAACAAATTCAGGCTTGAAATGAACAAGACAATCAGTCAACCCACCAAGCTATCAATTTGCGTACCACCACAAAAAAATCTGGCCGATTTTCTTTTGCAACCGTTTAACATTCCAAACTTGTGGACAAGGATGCTATTGCAATTAGATAGGGTTTTCCCTTTATGGATGAGGACAAATGCATATGAAGGTCCAAACTTAAATGCTCAGTCTGCATGGTTATTTTCTAATTTTAATTACTTTTTCATTTTTTTAGCCGTACCATATTGTTCTATTAGAAGTTAAAACTTTAGGCGGTTGTAAATTTTCTTTCAAATTGAATTAACTTACTTTTTTATTGTTTGGGATGCTTACGTTGTAGTTTCTTTGCCTGAATTTCTTGCTTTTTTGGTTTAGGCTGAAACTGTGAGGACTAAATTCTCAGTTTCGATGCATTTGTGTTCAGAATCAGATATTAAAAACAAATGATAGTACCTCTAAATCCTTGTCATCTCAATATCAGAAGTACTCTTTGGCAGTGATATACTTCTGCTTAGATATTCTAACGCTCTTGTACGTGTTTCTGTCTTTGTTTGCCTTTGCAGAGTCTTGCATGCAATTCCTTCAAATGAAGCAATAGACACTGTTGAGGTTAGATTGTATAGTTCATGGCCATTTCCTTACTTTTAGATCATTGTTTTTTAATATTAGTTATAATTCTTAAGTATGACTTTTTAATAAAAAAAAAAAAAATATATATATATATATATATATATATATTAAAACAAAATTTATAATAAAAAGTAAAGAATTATTCTATGTTCCCATTCAAAGTCCTAAAAGATTGATGGCGTAACCCATAGGGCTTCGTGAGAGGGAGGCTTTGGAGAGACCTTTGGCTTTCCCCCTTGAGTAGGAGGGGTTGAAGATGGCTTTCTCATCCTCTACCTGCTAAATCACTTCTTTGTCCCAGTTTAAACCCTTGTTCTTAAAGGATCAGAGACAGGGATGGGGGAAACAAGAAATTTGCATAGATCATGTTTCCTCACGAGGATTTTTTCCCGTTACAATAAGTAACTTTCAAAATTTTAGTTTTCTCAACCAAAAAAAAAATTAGAAAAGGTCTATTTTTACCAAATTGAGGCACCATATAGAAGTAATCTGTACATTATTCAAGAGAGCATACTATATTGTTGAAGACTCTGATTCCTTTCCTTCCATAGACACAAAAAGAGGACTCTAGCAGCACAACTCCACAAAATTCTTGCCTTTCCTTTAAGGTGCCACCCGTTGACAGCTTCAAGCAACCAATTGTCTACTAGTTTAGTCAAGCAGGAAGAAATACCCAATTCTCTCATCAAAAGGAGTAGCTTCTGGAGGCAAAAGGGCAATGAAGGAAAATATGATCGATAGTTTCAGCATTCATGAGGCAAAGGCAGCACACTGTTGGGTATAGAGACCAATTTGATAACTTCCTTTGTATCTTTTCATGGGTGTTTAGGTTCCTATAAGTAAGGCTCCAGATGAAGACTTTAACCTTCTTAATTTCCAAATCGACTTTATTAGTGGGGTTTTCAATTTAGGAGTAGTCTCATCAATTTAAGGAAGGCAGATTTTATACAGAAGTTCTTCCAGCTCTCAAGGGTCCATTCTACTCTATTAGTTGAGAAACTTAACTAATACTAATAGAATGTATTGATTTCATTTTTCATTTAAGTTCAGTTTGGTCTTTTACGGCCTCTGAGTAGGCGGTGTGTTCTATATAATAGAGGCCTCTGAGTACGCGGTGTGTTCTATACATAGAGTGGCGCAGGATCTAAATCAATATTTGGAGTGTCGTTGGCCCCTAAGTCAGGATTATTGGCCGTGGTCATTGCTTTTACAAGTTGGTTTATTTCTTATATATTAGATCATTTGGCTGGAGGGAAACAAATGGGTGTTTCAAAATGAGGGGTATTAGGAGGACAGGAGTGTATCTTACTCAGATATCTTCCATTAGGCATCGTCTTCTTATTCGGTATTGTTTCCCTATTCTTCGTCGCCAACTACCAGCACTCCATGTAACTTTTTTGGGTCTTTTTATTGCCCCCGGTCTTTTATTTTTAGTTTAATTCCATGCTTTTTGTTTAAAGATTATACTTAGAAAAAGGATAACTGTAAATCTATGAGAGAGATGCTTTGTCCCCTTTAAGGATAAACAAATTACACAGAAGAAAATAGAATCCACCCATCAATAACAATTATAACTACCCCGGGACAGAAAGGGATAAATGACTAGATCGAATAAAATAAATTACCCATCTAGAATACAGGAGAGAACAACTACAACAAAATATAGATTATAATTATGTACAATTATAATAAATTTGAACTATAGGCAGTAATTAGTCAAGTTCTGCTCTAAATAGGAAGCGTGCCTTGGTTAATTATAACTTTACTACCCCTTGCATGTACAGACATTGACGCCGATTACTTCCAATTGTTTCATAGTTAAAAGACTATTAGCAAAGATTCTAGGGATCTAGGAATTTGATGGTTTGCGGTTCCTGCCTGTTTATATTGAATTCAGTACCATGCTAATAGTAGGTTATCAATTACCACCTATAAATTCGTTTCTACTTTAATGTTATTATATGACTGAACGATGTGTTCCAAATAGGTGTTGCAATCAAGAATAAACCCTTCTTTCGTATCATGGAAAGGTGGAGCGGTAAGTTGAACGGCATTAAAAGATTTTTATTTCACACATTATTATTATTTTGTATTTTCCTGATATCAGAATGTAATCGAGGTCATTTATCCTTATAGAATAGGCATTACCCAATTTCCCGTGAAGGATTTATAAGAATTAACTTGCTGAAATTTAAACAATCTGATTGCTGAAAAGCTTAGGGAAAATTTCCTCTCTATACATGGTATGTCGAATAAAGGAAGAATACACCGAGTAGGTTAAATTGTCAGAACTCTTAGCTGCAGCAGAGTCTACGAAGAATCATTCTTAATGTATTTGAAGTGAATAAATACTCAAAAGTTTTTGTTCTTTGGAATGGGAAATTTGCAAGTGGAAAAGGATACATGAACAAAATACCTTCTTAATATCTTTCAATATAGTGTGGAAAATCCATCAGGATAATCAATAGCATATGACAACAATGTGACAGATTATCGGAGTGCTTGATTTCGGGCGAGATGCTTGGATACATCGTGAAGACTGGATTAACAGTGGAATTTTTGTTGGAAGTGGCAGAAAATACAAGGATTCTTATTATCTTCAAGCACAAGCGATGTGCTACATTAATTCCTAGAAGGTGACCTGTTTCTGCTATTTTCCTACTGATCAGGAACAGCTCAAATTTGTTGCCACTAGTGTAATGGAAGTTGAGCTTACAATGCTCTAGAACTTGATATAACTGTAGCAAATGTAACAACCTTAATGTGCACAGTTGTCATTATACAGAAAATTTCTGAGACTTTGTCATGTTTCTTATTGCAGATGATAAATTCTTTTGATTTGTAATCTTTTTTTTTTCCTGGCCTGCAAATATGGTGCGTAAATCAATTCCATGTGTTTTTGAGCTTTTCCGTCTTTAGATGTGATCTTTACGATTAAGTATTTAATTCTATATATTTAGGATGAAATTTAGGGAATGGGGACTGGAGAGAGCTGTTCATCCTTGTGAACTTACCAGACTTGTCATGTTTCTTGTTGCCCGTGCGTGCGTTTAAAAGATCTGCCCAAGTTCAAAATGATGCACAGTACCAAAACAGATACTAAAAATTTAGTGACTCGAGATAGCATGAATTTTATTTAGAATATTTTCTGAGGAATTGAAATATTCTAAACAATATCAGATAATGCGATTTTGAAACATGTTTATGGGAGACTTCTGAAACGACAAAAACAACAAAGAAACGTGACGGTAATACAAAGTCAGAAGAAGACAGATGGTCTGTAATGGAAAGTTGCCATGTGAGCCAGAAAAGGAGGATTCTATCCTCATTCCAGAGCTTCGTTCCTCGTTCACCGGCCGGAGGAAGGGAGAAAGAGGTTTGCGGCGGCGGTAGTGATGGCTGGCGAGGAGGATACGGCGGCCGGCGGCGAGTTTCACCGGAAGAAATGAGAGAAGTCCAATAAAAAAAAAACATTATTAAATTTAATAACTCTTATCAAATCAGCACAGTACGGTCAACCATTGACATTTATCTTGAAACTAGGTAGACATGTAAAATACTTGGCTAAGTGGACTAATTTTATTTTTGCATCATTAAATATTTGATCATTCATTATTTTTTGTATTATTTTTTCTTAATTATCAAATATTTAATGAGAAATGACAAGATTTCACCCTAACCTCAAAGTTGAGGGAGTTTGGAAATGGTCATGACCTTGGTGGGTAATCCAAGCACCCCAGTGATCTCAGGGTACAAACCCTTCCTGATTTCAGCATATGCTTCGCCATCCCATTTTTTCGCCGCCAGCTGCTCCCCAAACTGGAGCGCAGCCGTCATGAGGCCGCCAGCGCCGTCGTGCGCCGACTCCACAATGCCCCTTCTCACCGCCGCTTCACCGCTCAGTTTCATGCCCCTCAGGATCAAGTCGCGCTGAACCGAAGTGGAGCCCATCTTGGACTTAAACAGAGCCGCGAAGTAGTCCGGCAGAGTGAGGCCCAGATCAATCTCTCGCATGAAAAGCGAGCCCAGATCGCTCCTCATGATCAAGTAGTCGTGGCTCACCGCCAACGCGAGACCGGCGGCAGCGGCGTCGCCGGAAATGGCAGCAATGGTAGGCATGCGAAGGGAAAGGAGTTGGGCCACGACGGGCCTGAAGATGTCAATTATGTGGTTGAGGCGGTCACGGGCGCCGTCAAGGGTGCCGGCGGCGAGTGCCCAGGGGAGGTCGAAGCCGTTTGAGAAGTTGTCGCCATTGTTGGTTGTGATGAGAACGGAGCCGGTGGTGGCGTTGGCTTTGACCTCTGAAAGAGCGGTGAGGATGGAGTAGATCAACGGTGGGTTGAGGCGGTGATCGTCGTTGGCGGTCAGTGTTAGGATGAACACATTGCCTCGCCTCTCAACTGTGCACATTTTCGTAACCTTATTCAATTACACTCCACTCCTCGTCCTCGCTCAACCACTATTCACCAAAATCAACCATCAAATTCCTCCATTTATCTTCATTTTTATATACAGTACCCCTCAACTTTATCCTTTATTTCAAAATTATCCCTATCTCCCAAAAATATTTCAACGCTACCTTCAGCGTTTCATAAATGTTTTAAAATATATATATTTAAAAAAGAAAAATTGACCTGACAAAATTTAAAACAATACTGGTAGGTATAAATTTTGTTAAAACAAGCAAAATTCAAGAGTATTTTTTCTTTTTCTCCTTCAAATAAAGAGTTGTGTTTCGCAAATAAATATCTTTTGTCAGTTTCTTCAAATGAAAGTTACATTTCACCAAAAACAAAAATATCTTTGGTCAATTTTGAAAAACTATTTTTTTTTAAATTCTGAAAACATATTTATGTTTTGAGATTTTAGATTTGATATTTAAAAAGGTAGAATTACATTTTAAAAAGTAAAAAAAAATTGATAAATATATTATTTCATGTTAAAATTAAAATATGAAAAATATAATATATTACAAATTATATAACATTGTAAAATTATAATTATACAAAATTTATAACATATATGTTAATAAATTAATTAGTAATATTTTTTATTGAATTAAATATTTAGTTGGTAACTACCAAAATTCAATTTCTAATATCTTGGTCACCTGTTCGTGCTTGGTGGCTTATGAAATGGAAGATTGAACATCTGACTTGAATGAACAACATGTCTTTAACCACTAAACCAAGTTCATGTGAGCTTTATTGGTCCAGGTAAATCATCACATTTTAGTCTTCTTATGAATTAATGATCAATGTTTAGTGGTAGTAACTGATATATGGTATCCTCGTGATTTTTTTAGTTGGACGGTAAAGTGAAAAATTTGAAAATACAACCTTAACAATGTCTCAACAAAATGATTATTTTGTTCAGTTCAATTACTTTTCTTTATCATTGATACTCGATAAGTAATTCTCGTATTGAATTTTGAAATTCATTTTCTTTTAAAATGTTGATAAACAAAATATAAGTGGATCGTGTTTTGAGTGGAAATAATTGGTAGATGTGGCTGTTCGATTTTAGAGCAGTTATTTGACCTTTATAATGGATTAAAGTTAACCACCATTCAAAAAATTATGTGAAATTTTAGAATGGGGGGTGCACAAATCTTCGTTTTAACTCTCATTTCTTTCACTCCTCTCCCACTTTTCCAATAGATCTATGCATCTCACCCTCACGCTACCACAGTCTAATTGATATAATTAACATCCCTCTCTCACTCATCATTCATTTACAACTACATGCTTCGTCACTAATTTACAAATATATATAATAAATTATTCATGAACAATTTTAATTTTAATGAGTCTCAACTTGAGCATGACTCAACTGGTTAATGTATTTTTACCCAAAAAAAAAGGTAAGGTGGATTCAAATTCCATGTTATATTAAAAAAAACTACTCAGGATTTATTTGTGAATCATTGAGTTACAACAATAATGAATACCTAGTTACGAAATTGCGCTGTCCATGGTTGGACAAGCACATGCAAGTCTATTTTTTGTCTTCTTCTGCACAATTATGAAATTAAACGGTGGATGAATTTCTCTGTTGTATTAAAAAACAAACAGTTACGATAATGAACCACCAATTTATTATAGCAATTCTGTAACTAGTGATTCATGTGGATTCAAATTCCTAAATTGTATTAATTTATCTGTTATTCACAACTAAAAGAAGGGGTATTAAAAGAATTTAGTTGTTGACTTACGACGATAATGAATCCCTAGGCACGAATTGCATGGTCCATGACAGCGCAGGCACATGCTGTCCATTTATGTCTTCTTCAACACAATTACGGAATTGCCCCTCTCTCTTATTAAATGGTCTGCCCCAATCACGAGTTGACACAACCACACCAACTGCTCCTTATTCTTCTTGCTCTATTTAAGCTCAAAATATTTTGAAAATATTTGGTCAAATTCAGAAAAATTTGTCATTATAAATTATAATTCTCATTTGTAACGTTTTCTCTGACCTTATACTTAATTGTGATATAATTTTTCAAGGATATTTATTATTACCTTTACATATACCTTGAATTTGTGGTTTTTAGTTATAGGTCAAAAATTATTTTAAATTATTAATGTGCTCATCTTGAATATATATTATAATTATCTTTGAATATTTATTGTAATTAAAAATATTTATGTTATTTTAGTTGTTAAAATTGTACATGTGTTACTTTGAGATGAGAGTTTAATTAATTTCTTGATTTGACCTTATGATTATAAAAATATATGTCAATATGAGCTTAGTTCAACGATAATTGACACTTGTATTTAACGGAGAGGTCATGAATTCGAATCCTCATATTTGTTATACTTGAAAACAATCTCCTTTGAATTAGATTAACAATAAAGTTTTGCTTTTACAAAATTTATATTATTTATAATCGGTGATAAACAAAATTACTGATATTGTTGGGGCTTCTTAAAAATTTTTGTTGTTAACTATGTTTTTAAAAATTATAGTATTGTTTTTGTAAAATAATGGGTGGTAAATAAAGTTGCCATATTTGCAAAATTGTTAGCAAATATGACAATTCTTTGTTTGTGTACTAGTAAAAGATTTTCGTATTTTCATTTTACATTTATATTCTCTCTCTCTCTCTCCTTCTCTGTGAACCGCCTGTTAAAAATTATTCATTTCAGTACTGGTAAATTGGTGATATTAGGGAATTACAAATACATGAGTTAGTACATAAATTATTGCCAATCATAGCTCAATAGATATAAATTAGTGTAAATAAATTTTGTATATTTATATATTTATTTATTGAGTAGCGTAAATAAACTATATTAATGGATCAAATGATACATTCAATAACTTGGAGAATTTGGCATAATAGTGAATGGGCCGTTAGTCTTGTTACATATATAGTTCCTACCTTTGTTATTATTTCGGCCCATTTTAATGGTTTTTTTACGAACGACCTTAAATTACCCTTCTATTTGTTACCCGCTGTTGAAAAAATAGCCTATCATATTTGATAATAAAAAATGTCTATTTATATACTTCTAACTGTTTTGAAAGTTTATATTTCTCTTCTATTTAGTTATTGGTTTTAAAATTAAAATATCCTAATTTCCATTATCTTCTCTGTATTCTATCTTATCTCTTTATTCTARTTTTTTTTTCCAACCACTATTACTATACTTACATATATATGGAGATAGAATTCACCAATTATAAAGAGACATCATAGTGAGGGAGATGATCAGGAAGGGAATTTATCGGAGTCGAGTTGACAAAGGGGAATCGAGCGAGAGGGAACAACGGTGAGGCAAGGCAGTGGGTCATAGAAATGAGATGCAGGTGGGGCGGCGGGAGGTGGAGGGTAAAGGAGATGGAGACCTATATGTTGAGTTTCCATCATTTGTATATCTTTTTGGTTTAAGGTTAGAGTATTTTATATTTTTGTATTAATTGTGCAAAAAAAAATATACATTGTTTCTCCACACTATTTCGTATTTCTTTAGTTGATTTTGTTTCGTGTATTTGTTGTTCTCTCATTATTTTTATATTTTTGTATTAATTGTTCATGAAAATATACTTTATTTCTTTAGTTGATATTGTTCAATGTATTTGTTACTCTCTTGTTATTTTTATACTTTTGTATTAATTGTTCTAAAAAATACACCTTTCTTCATTATATTTGTTGTTGTATTTGTTATTCTCTTCACCGTATTTGTTGTATTTTGTGTTTACCGTATTTGTTATATTTTGTTTCTCTGTTCACCATATTTGTTGTCTATATTTGTTATACTTTTGTTTCGTTCTCTGTTTCACCGTACTTTTTATTTGTTGTTTTTTTTATTTGTTTAACGTATTTTTAATTTGTTGTTTTTGTTTCTTTGTTCATCCATTTGTTCTAGCTTAAGTGTTAGTATTTCTATTTCTAATTACATTTGTTTATTAGATATTATTTTATTCCTTAGATTTGTTGGTATAATTCTCTGAAATATAGGTAAGATTCTAAAAATATTTGAATTGTCCTATAAATTTTGTAAGAAGGAAAAATAACGATTCATTTTAAAATTATTTTAGAATAGGGTAATTTCGTCCCTAAAACATTAGTACATATCTTCCTACTTTTACGTTGGCCATAAAAGTGTAAGTTGTGTGGCCATATTTTGAAATTGTCTATTTTAAATGGCTATATCTATTATTATCCCTAAATTTTAACCTCATTTTTTAATTTGATATTTAAAATTTAAGAAGTTTTATTTTAACCTCTGATAAATTTCAAATTCAATAATTATTAAAATAATATTTTAAAAAATAACATAACTTTTTTTATAATTAATTAATTAGATATCGATATTTTATTTTAATGAAAAATTGCTTGCTTGGTCAAAAAGAGAGAAAATATATCCTATCCAAGTACGAAAAAGTAATTTTTACTATTTTGTCCTCTTACCATATTTTAAAGATAGCGTGTACCTTCTTACGTTGGAATAACTTCTTGTTTTGTCATTATTTTAAGGAAAAAAGTTTGCCTACAAATCATTATTTAAAGAAAACTCTTTTGCTACTGACCCACCCAAACTTGCAATTTATCCAATGAGGCTACGAAAAATATATTGTAGAATATTCTTATAGTACCTAAAGATTTATTCTCTCCCCTATTTAATTTATTGCGTCCATTTTAATTCTAATATTTAATTTCATCAAATTCAAATTTGAATGAATAGAAAAATGACACGTTCTCAAAAATAAATTCAAACTATCTATAAAACGTAAATCAATCTACAAAATAACTATATATAAAAGAAAATCATCCATCTACAAAAATGTCTAAACTCATGCCATAAAAATTCCCAAACCAAGGAACAAAAATTGGGTATGTTCACGAATAAATTGTCCTAGCCTACAAAAATACGTATTATGCCCAGAAAAAAAAAATTGGTAGCCATAAAAATAGTTTTGTCAAGTCATAAAAATACAAAATTTTAAAATATTAAAACCTAACTAATTTAAGATATTTTCATTTTTTATTCACGTTAATTGGATCAAAATGAAAATGTAGGTATTAAAAATCGAGTCATTGCCAGTAAACTTTCTCCTACATTATTTTATGGTTTCTTGAATATATAGAGAGACAGAGTGCCTTTTTTTTTTTTTAGTTCAGAGAATGTCAGTTTGAATGATTATCAAAATCTTTATATTAAAATGAAACTTGGTCAGCCATACCATACGTGCAGAGGACAAAGAAAACTGTTTTTTTTTTCTTATTAAAAAACTGAGTTATTATATCTAGATTATAATGGAACCAAGCATATATATTAAATTTCTGAAAGTTCGAGGATGCGTTTATAACAAAACAGGTATAATTTTGGCTATTTATTTCTATTTTCTAAATCTATTATTGATTATTATTAACCCAAGCCTTACTAACCAAACGGATCAAAATTCAACTAAAATTTAGATAAGGTTGAGCATGATAGGAATGAAATTTGTAAAATATCATTCAAATTTTTATTTATTATTACTTAAAAGTCCGACAATAGTACTATATGTAAATTAATTAATTATATTTATTAAAAATTAAAATTAAAATTAAAGAGTTGACCAGTTTTCCTCAAAAAACAAATTTAAAAAAAAAAAAAAGGAAAAGATTGACCATTTCTCCACTATCCGCTCGTTTCCCAAACGGCAGTCGTAAGCTGGAGAAAGAAATTCCCAAATTTCTGTAAGAAGAGCAGCTCATCATGAATGGTAGAATTTCGTGTGGTTAATTTAATATTGACGCTTTCGAAACGGAAAGACGAATACAAAATATGCAGTTTTCTGAAATTGTTCGGACTGGAATCCATCTTCATCCCTCAATTTCAATACTTCTTCTGAGCTGAAAAACGATTAAAATACAGACGGCATCGGGAATTTTAATGCTAATTACGAAATTCGCATCATAAATTATTGGCAGAAGTACCAAACTGCAACTGAGATAAACAATTAATTTCCAAATTTTCAGAGCTTCGAAAGCGAAATGACCTTTTCCGGTAATCCAAGCAGACGAGAGATCCCCGGATACAGACTCTTCCTGATTTCCGCGTAGGGTTCGCCCTCCCAATTTCTGGCCGCCAGCTGCTCCCCAAGGCGGAGCGCAGCCTTCATCGCGCCGTCGTCGCCGTCGTGGGCGGATTCCACGATGCCCATCCTCACCGCCGCCTCGCCTTTCACTTTCATTCCCCTCAGGAACACATCGCGGCGGACGGAACCGGAGCCGATTTTGGAATTAAAGAGCGCCGTGAAGTAGTCCGGGAGAGTTAGCCCTAGATCGACCTCGCTCATGTACAGAACGCCTCGATCGCTCCTCATAATCAAATAGTCGTGGCTGAGGGCCAGAATGAAACCGGCAGCGGCGGCGTGGCCTGAAATCGCGGCTATGGAAGGCATGGGAAGGGAGAGGAGTTGGGCGACCACGGGCTTGAAGATGTGAACCATGTGGCTCAGGCGGTCGGCAGCCGCAGAAACAGAGCCGGCGGCGTGAGCCCAGCGGAGATCGAAGCCGTTGGAGAAGAATTTGCCATGGGAAGTGGTGATGAGAACGGAGCCGGGGGAGGCTTGGGCCCTGATTTGGGAAAGAGCGGCGAGGATGGAGTCGATTAAGGATGGGCTGAGGCGGTGCTCGTCGTCTCCGGTCAGAGTCAGGATGAACAAATTGCCTCGCTTCTCAACTGTGCACATTTTCGTAACCCTTATTCAATTCCCCCACCAATTACCAAATTCCTCAATTTATCCTGAAACAAAAATAGCGTTTCACCAACACAAAAAAAATATATATATATATATATATAATTATTTTAATTTTTAGTAGACCTTTTTAATCGTTAAAAAATATTACTATGTGTATTTAATAAATTATAAAACATACGTCTGGCTTTAGAATTGATAGTATTATTTATTATTATTTTTTTGTTACAGTGACAAGGTTTTAGAGATAGATGATTGCTATAGTTTAATTTTTGTTGATATATGAGTTTTGGAAGATGTGTTCAATACTCGATCTTGTGTGTTGATAGGATTTTACTTTTGTTAAAAGCAATGGTTTTGCTTGTACGCATTGAATAGCATATTTAGAGATCTCAATTTTAAAATAATTGTCTAAATTTTCAAAGAATAATCTTTGATTTTTGTTTGGGTGTTGGCATATATTTAGCAAGGAGCTCAACCGTAAATTACCATAATGCACACGCTTATAAGTGCGATGGAATCAACCATGGAGGTCGCTCGACGTAGGACGTGGTGGGCCTCACCCGTGTACCAACCCTGCGGACCATCATTATCGGCGTGTGGTATGACTCCATTGTCTATCACATGATCTTGCTTAAGGTTGTGCTACTATAGAGTGTGTTATAGTATGTTGCGGGACTTCCCATATGTCCCTGCCACTTTGGGCCTCTAGTGTCATTTTCTTCGTTGATCGTTCATTTGTGTTGGGATTGATCTCTACTGCCACGTGGAACCTTGCAGGCCCCATGTCTGCATATACGGTGTATATATATATAATTTTTATTTTTTTGAAATATGAGTGTGTAAATTATATACATAATTGATCACATATGAATATAATAGTACTACAAATTTTCCCAACAATATAATGCACATAAAATTTCCATAATATTGTGGACTCATTAAATAAATATAATATATTACTTTGTCGAGATGTCAATGAAAAGCACTTACTGCAATACTCTTGGTACTACAAATTTYCTCCACATAATATGCCTAATGGAGAATGAATTTATTTATACAAGTATAGATATTTTTACCATTCACCATCTGTCACATCAATATTGTATTATTACTGTAAATTTTAGCAACAGAATGGGATAGGGGAGAATATGAAAAGGGAAAATATAATTGGTTCCTCATCAATTAGAAAAGTCTTGTCAATCACCACCACTAGCAAATAGACAACTTGTTAATTTTTATAAAATGAATGTTTTTGTATTTCTCTCCCCACTCACTATTAAAGAGCAAGTATTATTCTATTGAAGTTAAAGGAGGAACATACAGCTTAACACATTGTCAAATACTTAAAAGAGGGTTAAAAGTAGGTAGTTCCTCTTCCAAAGCGAGTATTACTATTATAGACCAAACTAATTGTCTAACCATTTTATTTTTCGATCATGAAATTTCAGATCTTGGAAATTGCTATGGCATTGGACGGCAATCCAAGCAATCTAGAGATCTCAGGAAACTTTTCCTGATCTCCGTACCTTTTCAGTTTCTGCAGGCGAGCTGCTCCCCAAGCCGCACTGCAGCCTTCACGCGCCGTCCTCGCCGTCGTGGGCCGACTCAACGATCCCCATCTTCATTCTTCACATTCGCCCTTCACTTTCAGGCCCCT